TCTTACTTTGAATGTTCTAGGATGAACCAAGAAAAATATGCATTTGCTAGAACTTCCGAGCCCTGCTTATCACTTATTAAATTTTATCATAAGCAAAGGAACCGATGTTTAGTATAATGTTTAATATACATTTGGAACTATCAATTTGTATACAACACGTATGTGTATATGCAGTGCCGGTCCAATGGTTTTCGGGGCCCCATGTAATATGTATATTCATTTTTTAATTACTAATATCAATTTATATTTATTTATTTCAATATATAACTAAATACATATAATAATATTTTGAACCGTCTTTGACAATAAACAATTTGACAATTATATGAGTGTATAACACTGCATAGATATGTATAATTAATATAGTCTTTATTTTTGTCGATAACAATCCGTTTCTTTTCCACACGACCGCACGGGTCGCAATTTGCGTACTACTGAGACTATATTATTTTTATTTACAATAAAATGTGATATTCATAATACAGAATTTGTAGGGCCCCATACAAGCGCGAGGCCTGGTACACATAGGTGCAACTAGAGGGGTGCAATAGGGTTTTTAGCCCCCCTGAGTTCAAATGTAGCATTCCTGTTTTTTTTTTTAGATCTAATATAATCTATAATAATTACAATTAAATACTATTTTATTTTATTTTCAGAAATTTCAGCATCTCCTATATTTGGGCTCTAGTTGTGTCCATGCCGGTACGGTCGGTGTGGTTGCTCCAGGGCCGGCATTGTTTATACGATGTACGACGTACGTATTATTTATATGTTATGTATGATATCGGAATTTATGTAGAATTTATAATAGGTGTATAAAATCTTTTTTTAACTTTTTGTAGTTTGTATTATGTATCTTATAGGTCTTGTTACAGATTGTATAATGTTAAACTTTTTTTATTGCTGCAGATTTCACATCAACTTTTAGGAAAAAAGTAAATTTACCACAGTTTACCATCTCCCAATAAGTTCTATCTTCTATGATAACAATTATACTCACTTTGAATTAAATTATTAAACAACATTGGGTTGAGAAAAATCATATTTTTGTGACTATCGTGCAAAATGTATTAATTAATTTTTATTATGTCATAATATCATAAGATTCAGGTGAAAAAGAATGAAAAACCAAATTTAAAATATATATTATTACTATTCAAATCTCACCTAATCAGACTTAAGTTCTATTATGTTTATCAATTTAATTTGTAATAATAACGTATAATTGTTTGATGTACTAATTGAAACAATATAATAAAACTAATTTAGTGTTAATTAATTAACTAGATATTTATTCAATAATCATGAAACAATGAAATGTTTAATATTAATTATATGATTTAGTCTGAACAATAAATACAAAATACAGAATATTATTATTTAATGTACGATTTTTTTTTTTTTTATTCATGTACAGTATACTTTATATTTTTGAAATATTAAATTAAATTTAGTCCGATAAAAGTAATAAAGTACAATAAGACAAATATTTTTGTTGCAAATTAAATTCGTGGTTTGTATAGTTAGTAAGTATATACCTAAAAAATAAAAGAAATAACAACAAAAAAAATACAGTATAAAAAAACAAGCCTTATTGAAGTATAATTTTTATAGAACAATTTGAAATAATTATTTTTTTTGTTGATTATCAATTATCATTTAAATAACATTTTAAATTGCAAAGTAATAAATAATTATATTTTTCTTATTATAACATGACATTTATTGAAATCAAGATAATATTTATAACTATAATTTACAAGGATTTCAATTTTAAATTTAATTTTACTACAAATATAAACAGAAGATTATTCTACATAATTAATTTAAAAGAAAAACTTGTACAAAAAGAAATCTTTAAAGGATTAAATGTATAGTATAGATATTAAATGTCAAAATGACAATCCGGCATACATTATACATTATAACCTACTTTTTTCCCCCTTTTTAGAAATACTTACAACTTTTGAGTCTTTACTTCATTTTTTTGCGTAATACTACCTAGTGAAATCATTCAACTTGCTGTATATATTTCTAAATCATTATTTTTTAATATCCAAGTATATATTTTGGTTTTCATTTATGTTCTTTAGTTAAATTTTTCACTAGAGTATCGAATGTAAAAATGATTCTACTAAAAGATAAATGCTCACAAAAGATACTTCTTCAACGCTCATCTATGATTGCTATAGTGTTTTTTCTTTTAAATTTACGTAATTAAATTTAGATTAATACTTCCTTCAAACAAATTAATTTTTACGCATTTAGCTTATTGTGACATGAATAGCGTTTTTAATTTCTTAAATAAGCTTGTTATATAAATATAAAAATGTATGGTAAAAAAAACCCCGTAAAAAATACATTTATTATAGTGTTTATTTAACACGTAACATATTATTAAAAATATTTGTACGACATTCAGTATATTGTAACGTATTAATATTAATATACATACTCGTATATATATTACCAAGTGAAATCCACTTATCATGCAATAGGTATTAATTTTATTATTTTAATGTTCATTATCATGATTATTAAACTTGTCATTTTGTTTTTTTAAATTATTTAGAAATCTAACATGAATTTATCGTATTTTTAACATAATTGTATTTTGATGTAAATGTATTTGAATGTAAAATATTTTAATTAGCCATAATATATGTAGCTTTGATAATTAATAAATTAAATCTCAATAATCCAGTATTCTGCTAACCTAGTATGTCTTGTAATCTTTACCCTGTTAGTTGTCATGAAGAAGACAGCGAAGGCTATTTGGTCAGCTTCCGTTTAATATATTATTTAATTTTGTTTACGTTTGAAAATATTATTTTATCAAAAGTTTTAAGTTCGAATACTCAATAAATAAATTTTTTATGAAAATTATATTTTCACAGGTTTAAAATTTTTTGATTTGAATTAATTACAATTTAATATGATAATAATTATTTTATATAAAATATAAATAAAAGAATTGTTAAAAAAAAAAATTATAATAATAATTAGGGCCCGGGTTTTTATGTAAATGTATATTCTTCTACAATTCACCTAGAATAATTTTGATTATTAATATCGACGTTTCGTAATGTATAGAGTCTAGGGTTGATTTTTTTTTTTGCATATTTTTGCATATTTGAAGAAAAATGCATATTTATTGTATATTTCTTGAGTTGCATATTCTACAATTCGTAGAATTTACGTCTGTAGATACTTACTGTCGATTATCATCGATAAGCGATCGTCAATCGACATCATCGTTATCGACGGTTAGTGGCGTATCCAGGGGGAGTTAGGGGGTTATAACCCCCCCAAAAATGTTTAATGTATGTATATTGTCTATTGATTATAATAAAAACACACAAAATTCAAAAAAAATGTAATGTTACATTTTTATAACCCCCCCCCCCTAAAAAAAAAAAATTCTGGACACGCCACTGTCGACGGCCGACGAATGACGACAAATATTGGATTTTCTAGTGGTAAATTTATTATTACCCAAACACGTCCACATTAGATAAAAGTATAGTATACTGTACAATACGTATTGGGTAACACAGAATTTAGTTTTAGTTTGGTCTTTATCGTGCGTAGTGTACAGTGTACGTTTTCTAACTTGAGACTTTTATTTTTATATAATGCCTAAAGTAAATAATGTTTCCCGGTATATAAATGAATATCCAAACAAACAGACGGTAATATTTTTAGTATGCTTCGAGATAATCGTAGGAGTTTTCAATTTGAAAACTTGAAATCCATATTTATTACTTCGTCTCGTCTAATAATAATAATTTAATATAAATAGTAATACTTTAATTAATTTATAATACTTTTATACTTACACAATATCATTAAAAATGTTATTTTGCATTTTTTTTTTTAATAAACAATTTTTGTACATAATATATTGTCAATTTGTAAAAAAAATCATTTTGCATATTTTTTGCATATTTATGATATGAATCTGCATATTTTATAGATTTTTATTGCATAAAATCCGGGCCCAAATAATAATTATTCTAAATCTTATTGATTAAGGTGGGTAAACGAGTTGATTTTCATATATTTGTGCTTTATTTAAAATGTTCACATCTAGAGTTGAAACTCTCGAACAAATCGTCAGAATTATATCGTTCATAGCCTAAGCTCTGTCAAAGTATATGCTCGGGGTTTAACGTCGTTTGTTTTGGTGTGTATTTTTTTCCCCCTCGCATTCAGCTTTTTCATTTACATCGATTTTATTATTTATTCGTCGAGTCGTGCGCTTCTTTTACCGACGATGACTACGACGACGTTTACATTCTCCTCGGTTCTCCCTCTGTAGCGCGCGTTAGTTTGGCTTTTGGGATATGACTGAAAAGAGAAATAGGGAAAAAGCCAGAAAAAGCATTATTACGTGTACCCGCACACACACACACACACACACACACACACACACACACACACACGAGCGTACTATTAGACGCAATACCAGTGTTTGTGTGCGCGCATTTTCATTTCACCCGGTCGTTTTCTTTTTTCTTTCTTTTTTTCTCTCTGGTGTATCCCTCCGGCGAAGAGGATGCGCGTACGGTACGTAAACTCGAACGGGAGGGGGTAAAATAAAAGGGGTGGAGTGGTGATGGGTGGTGCGGGGAGGAAAAAAAAAAGATGCAAAAGAAAACCCAGCAAAAACCACCACCGACACCGCCGGATTTTCACCGCGCACGCGCCGCTCTACCGCCCGAGCGTGCAATGGCGGTAATTCCACGAGGGACGGACACACAAAGTACAAATGGGTGGAAAGAGCGGCGGCGTTGGTGGTGGTGGTGGCGGCGGCTGACACTTAGCGAAATTAAACCCCTCGGGCCGCAGTGGCGGAAAAGTACCGCGACGACGGCGAGGAAGAAGACGCACGCGCGTTCCCGTTCCCGTACTGCGTGTGCGTGCGCGCGCGCCCTATCGCGTAACACCGAGGCCAACCCTCCGCCACCGCCGGCCACCGGTACTGCTACTGCTACTACTACTTCCACTCCTACCGCCGGTACCAGCACGGCCGGAAAGTTCGGCGTCCACCGCCCGATGGTAAAAGCTCGTGACACGGACTGTGCCGGCGCGCGCGTACAACGTACACACTCAACGGTGCCGTACCGCGACCGGCGCGCAGCACTTATAGTTTGACTTCTCGACGTACACCGGTGCGCGCACTCTCCACGTTGTCCAGCCGGTCACCGTCGTCGTTGGATGTACAACCGCGGCGTTGATGCCGGACACCGGTTCTGAAGCCGTTCGCGCCGCCGGCGGTTAACGTCCGCCGGGTCAGCGAACCCCTGCGGCCGGCATGTCCGCGGTGCTGCAACAGCCGCCGTCCGGAGGAGCACCGCAATCGTCGCTGCTGCCGCACCTGCACCCGCACGGCCACCATTCGCACCATTTGCACCACCGGCCGGCCGCCGAGCTACAGGCCGCGGCCCACAACCCGGACGTGTTGCTCGCACTGTTGGCCAGGAACAAGGCTCTGGAAGGTAAGCGTGCACGCGTTATCCAGCCGGCCGCGCGCACCTGTCCGTCGGCTGTTCGGTACTAGTAACTGGCCGCTGCCGATGGTGGTGGAAGGTTGTTCGCGCGTTCTCTTGTGCACCTCCTACGGTGGTTTCGTAACGGTCATCCGTTCGGACGCAACCGGTTCACCGTGCTCGGCCGTCATTCGGTTGCGCTCGCGGCGCAAAATATTTTTCAATTATATTTCCATACGAAAACTGGTAGTTTACCATTTACTCAACGTTTACAGCGACAGCACACGATTTTCCGACGGTTAAGTTATTCTCAACTTTTGAACATAACGTATGTGCTGATTTATAACACTGCTCCGAAGTGAACGGTAAATGTCAATAGCTAGTCGAGTTTGAGACATTAATAAGTTTTGAACGGGACATTTCGAAACGTCTTAGGTTTAAGTTTACGTTGCATATAAAATATCATGTTAGCAGACCGGTGTACAATTCAAAAGTCATTTGATACTAAAATTTTTAAGAGGAATAAAGAGGTAATAAAATTTAAGAATAGTTAAGAATAGATAATACTAGTATATGAGTATATTTAGATTTTAGAAAAATGTATATTTATTTTTTATTTTTATACTTCAAAATATGTTTTATTAAGATACGAAGAAGTTAATTAATGATGAGTTTGGAATTGTTAGTGTTTTAAAATGTATTGATAGTTTTCATCAAGCGTTGTTGTTCTAATCAACAGCGTTCTCCAGCATCGCTTGTAAATATTCGTCGTTTAAGTTAATTCTGTACATAGATTTGACGTATTTAATTTTCGAAAATGTCTGTTTATATAAATAAATAGAGCTAAATATTTAAATCATTTCATGTGCACATTTTTTTTAGATTTGGAATAATATTGACAAAATATCAGTACATTTGACGGGCCGGTATGAAAAGCTTGACGAACCGAAACTGGTTCGCGGGTTGTAGGTTGAAGACCCCTGTTTTTAAGTATAATATTAAATCGAAGAAATAATAATAAAAAGGTGTGTATAATTTTCTTCTTAAACAAATGTACACATCTATTTTCAATTTGAACGGAATAAAAGTATTAGGTATACTATTATTATATATAATAAAATATTAAAAATTAGTACATGATTAATATTCGCCAACTAATTTATAAATAAATAAACAAGTCGTTTATATAAAAATATAGAAATAAATATGTAAATAAATGCTTAGCGGGGACTATTTGTAAAGTACGAAGTATATGCATACTTTTATAATTACAATAATACTCCAGATTAAACATTTATTTATTTATATATAAATTATTTAATTTGTTTATTTATTTGTATATTTATTATTATAAAAAAAACTTTATAATAATATACGTATGATCTTTGTAGTTTCTTCTGATAATATTTGTAAAAAAGTATTTAGGCACGTATAACAATAATATACAAAACGAATACCTTACAGTTATTCATTAATTAGGTAGCATTAAAAAGGTTATATTCTTTATTTTATTTAAATATCTGATATTAATTTACCAACTATTATACCTATTAGCGTGCGTAAACATTACTGGTAGAGTAGTCTACATAACACATTAACATTTAATATTAACGACAAATTTGGATGAGGTAACTTCATTTAACTTAATAATTATATTTTTTCAATATTGTTATACATGTACTTACCGTTTACGAATGTTTCGAAGTGATTAAACATAATATAGTTATTATTGTGATAATATTGAAGATTTTGGTGAGAAAGGGAAGGTTCACAGAGTAATCAAGTGCCTGACTACTCCGTGCACACGCTTATAATTATACCTATATTTTTTTAATCTAAAGTAACTCAAAATACTTAGAGTATATTACTTAATTGTAGCAGTTTACATATATTTTGTTCTTGTTTGCATAAATACTTGTAAATATTGTGACAGTACAGTCAATTTTACTGAAAAATACTATTTTTTGTTATGTATAATTATATTAAAATGAAAAATATTTCAAAATATTGCGTAAATGAACAGTAAATTAGTTCTTAATTAAATTGTAGTATATGATAGAAAACATTTAGTGCGTATCTAATACCAACAAAGGAAATATTGTAAAAATTAAATTAAAATAAAGAATAAATAAAAAATAAAACAATTATTTCGGAAAAATACAATATAATTTAATCGGTTGATTAGTAGGATAGAGTATAATCAATCTAACCAAATGGTTCGGTTTTTATTTTCCAAAATTATAAAATTTTTACATTTTATGTACGAAGTATCAAGAACTACCTAGAAAATATTTTCAGATATTGCAAATTTATTTATAAACGTAAAATCGAATTAAAAAACTATATAATGAAACTATTCGCATTGTTAAAAATATAATATAACATAATTTTTTCTTATATTTAAATTCTACAACATATACATAGCAATTGACGATTTTATATTCCGTGAATTTTTTGATGTTATCACAAATTATTTCTATTGATATGGATTAAGTGGACTTGTAAAGCGAAACTAAAACTGCAGTAAATAGTTGACGTTATTAGAAATTAAAGTAAAAATAACAATTAAAATATTAACCAGTTTTTATTTAAAGTATCTCTGTGAATTTAAAAAGTTATATACTGACTTACAATCGAAGGTTAATACCAAACAAAAGCTAAAATTCGATTGTTGTTGGAAAATTTTCCTTATAGCCCAGCATAAAACGACTTCTTAATTTTTCAAATTAAAGCATAATTCAATAAATCAAGATATTGAAAACATAAAATTAAAATATGTTGTCCATCTTATGACAGCCGAATAAATTATATTTTAAAATAATTAAAATAATAAGAACTTATATTTTTATACCTTTTTATAAACTACCGATTAAATATTAGCATATAATGCATATAATTTAGATTAATCGAATGAATTGTATTACTGTTCAATAACAGTATATTATCTAATATGATACTTAAATAAGTTGGAAGTTCTTTGCGCCCACATATCATTTTGAATAGCATTATACGTTTTATGCCTTTATGGTAAAGTTTGAGACTCTAAGAAGTTATTAGATGCACTAATGTGGATATTTATTAGTTTCTAAACTATGATAGTTAAACTGTCAAACAATATATCAAGTGCACATAAAACACAGAATATTATACAAAAAGCAATTATTAGAAGTGCTATATTATGTATTATTACAATATTGATATTTATTCCCCATATGTGCATTTAAGGATACATGTAATCATTTATTTCTCTCCATAAAGGAATATGATCGAAAGTGGTGATTTTCTCTCGATTAATTTCAAGTTATTTGTTTAAAATGTTCATACCAATTTATCTATATAATATAATGTATACTTCATTAATTAAGTAAAATTAAATTATTCGACCAATTTATCTATTCGAAAATCCGTGGTTTACTTATTTAGTTTAAATATCTACAACGTCAGTCACCTGAAAACCATTTCGATGATCGTATTACAAACAAATATTACTTTTTCGTTTACACTAATTATATAACTAATGTATGATTTGTCTCAACTACAATGAAACCAATGTCTGTTATATTATGTAGTATTATATTATTATAGTATATAGTATATTATTTCACGTACACGATTCGACATTTTGTAATACTCTTTTAGTTTATTTAACTCCTACTATACGATATACTATACAACAATTACATATTATATGCATATTGCACGCAGATACCTACTGTTCGGTTGATGCGTTATTAACGGTTTAATAGATTCTAAGTACCGACGAAATGGATTATACGGGTCCCTGGTCCCTTTCCCCTCATGGTATTTTGCGTGATCATCCTCAAAACATAATAAATAAATATAAAAAAAAAAAACATAGCCGACAGACCAAAAGATAACTATCGGTAGTAACATACGGCTACACTCGGCGTCACGCGGAAAAATGACCGTCCAACCAGTCAAAATAATAAAGGACACGAGACCACCTGTTCAATATGGATATTACTATGATTAGTCGTATGAATGATGGGGCACCCTCCTCGATGCGGCGATACCCCTTATTAGTCATCGTTGTCGTGTGTGCATGTATAAACTAGTTGCATGTAAACGACCGATTATCATACGGACTTGAAGAGTGCATTGTGTGCATTACGCAAATAGCTTTCGAGATGAACATTGAAAAAAAAATAAATACAAACAGCCAATTACAATGACCACTTGGATTTTTAGGATAAATGTGTTTAAATGTGTCACTAAACACGGATAAAAAGACAAGCATGAATGGGTTGGGTTTTTCTCTTGGGACGAAGGTGACGTGTTATAACAACTAGTAATACGAGTATTGTTTTTATAGAAACGTTCGCCATAATCTATTTCAATACTAATGTAATCGTATAATCGATTCAACAAATTTATTTTTTAAGAAAATAAAAATTAATATCTTCACTAAAGAAAATTATTACCCGGTGACATTATAAACGTTTCGTATTAGCAAAAATGTTTTTCATATAAGTTTCGTTGAAATTAAATATATGCCAAACGACTAAATCGATAGAACTTTTACAATACTTTTTCATCATTAGTTTATATTGTTTATATAAGACAAATAATTGCTATTTTATGGAAATTCGGTCACCATAATAAGGTTTCTTCAGTCTTCGTTTGATGAGTTTTTGATTTCTAAGGATTCAGAAAACATTATAATTATATTTTCCAATATAATATTATGTAGGTTTTCCGGTCTGAAAGACAATTTGAAGAAAAATGATCATCCAAAGGTTGTTTTTACTAAGTATAAAAAACTTATTTTCACTTCAGAATAGATATGGCTGTAATCTTGTTTACTCGAAACCATAAAAAAAGGGCCAAAGGTATACGACGCAAGTTTCATTTTATCGAGTCATTCCAGCGCTTTAATATGTTCTACTTAAAAGCTGGAGGGGTTTCCTGGTTCGACCTGCAATTAAAGGTGTTCAGAAAGGTTAAACACTTGCACCAGCCGTTAAGTAATGAATGTTACTGTTGTTCAC